TTTGGAGATGGCAAAACAAAGCCATACTGCAAACTAAGATTCAATGACAGCAGCGAATGGCTTAAATACAAAGGATATGATGAAATTATCTATATATTCTCTGCTTCGTAACACGTATTAGGGCATAATACGTGTTACCAAGCGGAGAATATATAGACAATTTCATCATATTCTATGTGTTTAAGCCTAATACGTGTTACCAAGCGGAGACTATATAGACAATTTCATCATATCCTATGTGTTTAAGCCTAATACGTGTTACCAAGCAGAGAATATATAGACAATTTCATCATATCCTATGTGTTTAAGCCTACTACGTGTTACCAAGCGGAGAATATATAGACAATTTCATCATATCCTATGTGTTTAAACTTAAACACATAGGATATGATGAAATTGTCTATATATTCTCTGCTTGGTAACCCGTATTAGGCTTAAACACATAGGATATGATGAAATTATCTATATATTCTCTGCCTGGTAACACGTATTAGCTTTCTTTGCAAATTTTCCATTTTTTAAAAACTTTTTAAAGCAGTTTCATATATTATAATTCTTACATCCTGCTCTTCCATCCCTTGTAATACTTCTTGAGGCAGTTGCAGTAAATACTAGTATTGATTGTTTCACACACACACATATATATACATAGTACGTATATGTGTTGGTTGCACGTGACAATGTATATTTCGGAACTACAGTTTAGCCAAACCACTGGGCCTCGAAGTACTCTAGAACTAAAACTAGGTCTTTAATAAACTAGTTCCTTTAGGTAAAACTATGCAATAAAAAACAACAACTAGATAATAAACTAGGGTTAATGCAGACTTTCAACATAACTTGGTTATTCACAAAGTGTGTTGAATTGTAAACCTAATATTCAAGCTAGTAAACCTCTTTGCTTCTTGAAATAGGATTCAGGGACAAATAATAATACAAAAAGTGGAACCACTTGATTCCAGTTCTACATAAAAGATATATATATATATATATATTTCAATTCAAACAGTTTGAAACAAGACTGAAAAAAAAATTATGAATTAGAAGTTATTTTTTCTGTTTGTTTAACCTGGAAGAAATTTTGCTTTTATTGTGAAATTATGAATTTTATTTGATGTATTAAACCCACGAACACGTGGGCTAAACGGTCATATCAGATACCCCTGGGATTCAGACGTAGCCATCAATAATATTGAAATACTGGGCATTCAGGTATTATCGCCCCCCCACCCCCCACAACAAGGACTTTTCCTGGCTCTTTGAATGCATTCACAAAAGAAAATGCAGAACGTGTTCAGCAACACAATGTCTCAAACCTTGGTCCGATCCTTAGCCCGACTAGACCAAGTCCGGCTGAAATATGAATTAACCGTAGCTACGAATTATTCAGAAAATATGTCACAATTTCATACGAATATGGATGTTTCAGTACTGGAGAAACAGTAATCTAACTACAAGGTAAATGAAAATTAAAGAAAGCTATCCTATATTTTGGAATATAAAAGAATAATAATCACACCATTGATTTCGTTAATTCTGTACTTTTGTTCATAAAAACAGCATTAGATTGAAAACGATTTAAGTAAAAAACAACCACCGGGTGCTCATTCTTATTTCTGGATGATATTAGAATTTAAAAGGTTCAGCTGGTATTGATTTCATTTAACCTGTAATGACGTGGTAACTTCCTTAAAATGGTGTCCTAATCTTACATTTATCATCCATTCAATTTAAAAAATATTATTACGAGTAAATTTCCATTAAAATGTACTGACTGTGTTTGCAGAATATCATCAGATAAACCAAAACAGGTACGAAAACAATTTAATTATACTGCTCCAAATATTTCCTATTAAATCCAACTTTTATTTGATAGTTCAGATTCTTTGTTGTAGTTGATATGTTTCGTTTGTTTGTAAGTAAGTACAAAACTACACAATGGGCTGTCTGTGCTCTGCCCACCACGGGTATCGAAATCCGGTTTTTAGCGTTGTAAGTCCGCAAACATACCGCTGTGCCGTTATAGACAGGTATATCCTCACAACTTCGAGATATGACTTCCCTACTTTACTGTAATCAAACTGTGACAGACATTTTTAGTAGGTGTTATAGCTCTTCTTGATTTTTTTTAACTTCTTGACAAACTACCCGAGCTGCCAGTACTATTTAAGCCACACTTGTTATTGAAATTCATTTTCTTAACATCTGATTTAAGGGCAAACCTCCATCGATTTTAAACTCTATTATATTTTAGTTGCACTTTGTAGATATGTTTTCTTTAAAAGAATATCCTAGTGTTTCATATTTTACCATCAATTCTTTTCCTAAACGTTTGTCGCAGTTAAGTGTTCTCATCACTGAAATTAATATAACGGAAATTAAAGTTACAAATTCAACTTATGAGTTGTCTATTTTTCGTACATTTTTTTTTAAATTTGCTATTTCAACTTGAAATGAGAGACTCTACTTGGCTCTTGGGTATAGTAACATGCATATTTTCGAGTCTCAGCATAAAAACTAGACAATTTACGCCTAGTTGTACTTTAAAACTAGTGTAGTTTTTTTTAATTCAACAGTCAAAGAACTAAATGGCATTGTTCAACATACTGGTGTACTAACGGATGTAGAGGAAAATTACATTGGATGTACTTAAATAAAACTATAGACGACTGGCCCTTAAAAAACATAACACATAAAGGCGACATACAAACGATAAAGAGTTACTTATGCAAAGAGAAAAATATCTAGTTGACCCCCTTAATACACTACTAGTATCACGTGACACATCACTCTTGTTACAGAACGGTGTTTTCAGTGCGAGACAAAGCACTTCACGTGATTGAAGCAAACTGAATGGTATCACGTGACTTCATTCTCCATTGCGAACACGAACCCGTGTCCTTATTATATACCTTCTACAATATAAACACGAAGAGCTAGCAAAGAATATATTAGCAAGGAAATATAAAAATGCAAATAAGCATTAGTTGGTTACTGTGGTAAGTTTAAATTAAAGTGTATTTGTAAAAAAAACCTCCTTTTCTTTTCTTTCTTGCAAGTCATCTTCCGGGCTGTCAATTTTTTATTTGAATTATGTTTGAGTGAGACTCTTCTCACGCAGGAAAGTGCAGCAATCACCAAAGGTGGTGCTTTGTGGGATTATGAGGGGACATGGTATGCATTGTGGGAGTATGAGGGGACATGGTATGCTTTGTGGGATTATGAGGGGACATGGTATGCTTTGTGGGATTATGAGGGGACATGGTATGCTTTGTGGGATTATGAGGGGACATGGTATGCATTGTGGGAGTATGAGGGGACATGGTACCTCAGAATATTTATTCAGTGAGGCAAAATGGTACATTTGCTGGAACAATTTGATGGTAAATTTGACCTGGATCCAGCCGGTCAACCAACCATAATGCATTATAGAAAGTTAATAATTTGACCAATACGTGAGGTGGTTTTTTTTTTGCTAATGCGTGTGAGCGTGAGAATAGACCCAGATGCGTGAGTCTCACGCTCAATGGGTGAGTGTTGGTAGTACTTCATATGTGGTCTCTCCTTGTCACAAACAGGCCTCTAGGTGATCGAAGAGCTTCTAGGGGACAAGGGTTATGAATAGCAAAGAAGGGTCGTAGACAAAATGTGAATGTTATTCTTCGTACTTTTTCACATTACGAAAGGTAATTCATAGGTACAAAGATTTTAATACACTAGACGTTATAACAGGATCTCTTCATTTTTGTTACCCATCAAAAGTCCTGCTACTTATACCTTAACTACTTATAACCAATTACACTACCAAACTAATACAGAAGGGAAAAAATACAATTTTAATTCCTGGTTAGTTTTGTCTATAAGAATACATACTAACGGTTCCTTCTCCAATTGTTTGTGGGGGCGAAACATGGAGATGTGAGTCTCACAAGTGAACTTTACTACTGATGGTACTCAGTAGATGTATGGCATCAAAGTTTTAAGCTTTGGAATAACAACTGGGACAAGATTTATATACTGTATGTCTTTAGCAACATTATTAATTTACAGATATCCACCAGCTCGTTAAGGAGCCATGGTTAAAATAAATCTCGTGAGAACGCCATTTAAACTAAAAACAGTAAATATCTATAGAAGAAATAGTAATTAGTCTTTCACCAAAAAAAAAGGCTATTAGACAGAAACTGCGTGACTGAAATGAATAACTTGCTGATTAAACACCACCTTTTTCTAATATCTACTTATAATAATAATATCTCTTATCATAGATAGATTGGAAAATTAAAACTCGTACCTCACAAGCGGTTAAGATTGATAAAGTTAACTTCTCTCACAGGTAAGATTCAATGGAACACCTTTTTGATAAGATAGCACTAACAGTATAAACATATTCTTCCGTGTATCGAAATAGCTTTGTTTGTTTTAGAGCAATGCCACATTGGGCTATCTGCTACATCCACCGAAGAGAATCGAACCCCGTATTTTAGCGTTGTAATTCAGTAAACTTACTGCTGTCCCACCTGGGACAAATAATTTAGTAACAATATTAGCTGTCTAATAGTACTGAATGAAGTTTGATTTATCTATTAACTTTTTGATTTGTTTTTCAGGAGCAAAAAGCGAACCAGCTTTAAAGTGCTAAATTGCTCTTTAAATATTCTAATTGAAAGGTAACAGAGCGGAAAAAACAGACTTAAAGTTTTTATTCAAGATCATTCTTGCAAAATATATAATTGTATTAAAGCTATCTTCCAAAGAAGGAACAATACTAGAGAAAGTTCACAATCAGTAATTTTCTAAAAATGTTACCAAAATATTAATGTTTAATAACCTTATTTAACAAGGTGAAAGTTTATTAACAATCCATAAAATTCTAGAACTTTCATGAATAGAAATAGTTCGTTGCTAGCAAAGATTATTTGAAATTTCATCAATAACGATTCGTAAAGAAAAAAATATTTTGCAAAAAACAGCAAAGTTCCTGACTGTAATATACTTACATGCCTCCAACAAACAGAACATCTCTGGCTTTATCCATATAAAATGTGCGGTAATAGAACTTTCCACAGTTGAACACATGAGGATAATCTGGAAAAACACAAAAACAAGATGTTGAATTACAGATATTTCGCTTTTCTTATTCGTTTGAGTTTTAAAATATTACTTCACTTGTTTATGCAAACACAATAAAAAACTCAAGAACCAATAAATATATGAAACTGTAAGCATTCAGGGCTGAAGACTGCACACCTGACGCATGTGTTTGACCCGACCCCACTATTGAACATCGTGCCTTTAATACATAATTAAAGCTTCTGATATTCGAGATGAAGTCAGATCTGTATAATTACCTGCATTATTATTATAAAGCGTCAAGCCATTTCTTGTTTACTTGTTTGTTTGTATGAATAATGGAACTAACATACCACAAACTTACTTTTGAGAATTCAACGAAGCTCAGAAGTTGGCAACTAACATTTACAGAGTTACGTCAAATGTTTCGAATTAGAGGAATATGTCAGGTATTTTATTTGGCTTCTTTTTAGTGCTTATTTTCCAAAAGAAAAAAAAAGTATTAGACTGACGGGTGGCGGAAGTTGAGTTTTGGACGATAAACATTTCAACGTTAACAGGCTAATATGTGGGATGAAGCTGGAGTGGAGCAACTTAGTTAAATACTTCTATCAAATACCAATTTGGGTTGCAACCGAGGCGCTTCTAAAGTTAATTATGTTCTTTCAGTATTTAGGTAAAAAAATCTAAGACATCGAATATCGGGACCAGAGAAAAATTAAGCATTGCAAGTTTTTTTTTCAAAATTTATGATCAGAACAAGATATTACTCTTTGTCTTTCAAATATAGTTTGTGTTGTATGCGATATACAGTTTGTTTGTGTGTGGTATATAGTTTGTGTTGTGTGAGATATATAGTTTGTGTTGTATGTGGTATATAGTTTGTGTTGTGTATGGTATATAGTTTGTGTTGTATGTGGTATATAGTTTGTGTTGTGTACAACATATACTATATACCATACACAACACAAACTATATACCACATACAAAATAAACTATATACCACATACAACACAAACTATATACCACATACAACACAAACTATATACCGCATACAACACAAATTATATACCACATACAACACAAACTATATACCATACACAACACAAACTATATACCACACATAACACAAACTATATACCATGTGTGATATATAATTTATGCTGTGTATGGTACATAGTTTATGTGGTGTATGGTGCATAGCTTGTGCTGTATGTGATATATAGTTTGTGTTGTGTGTGTGGTATATAGTTTGTGTTTTATGTGGTACATAGTTTGTGTTGTATATGGTATATAGTTTGTGTTGTGTATGGTATATAGTTTGTGTTTTATGTGGTACATAGTTTGTGTTGTATATGGTATATAGTTTGTGTTATGTGTGGTATATAGTTTGTGTTGTGTATGGTATATAGCTTGTATTGTATATGGTATATAGCTTGTTTTGTGTGTGGTACATAGTTTGTGTTGTATATGGTATATAGTTTGTTTTGTATGTGATATATAGTTTGTGTTGTGTTGTGTGTGTACATAGTTTATGTTGCGTGTGCTATATAGTTTTTGTTGCGTGAGATATATAGTTTGTGTTGTGTGTGGTATATAGTTTGTGTTGTAGCTGGTACATACTTTGTGTTGTATCTGGTATATAATTTGTGTTGTGCGTGGAATACATAACATTCTAAGATCCCCACACAGTTTTGGGTTTTGGGGAGTTACCTACTGATAACTTCAAGTCAGTATATGAGGAGTATTTAAACCAGAGGGAATCCTCAATAGCCATGGGACTTGAAATTCTTTCAGGCAGGATTAGAATAAATTAATCTGTGAGGCCTTTTTTCTTTTTTCTTAGCCATATTTTAGTGCGCCAACAATACTAAGCGTGGGAAGCGCGTATACCCGATTCGATTTTATTACTCATCAGAATCCCTACCAGCCTACCCTCAAATTGAAATTATTTTGGACAGGATTAGAGTGAATTACTCTATGAGACCTTGGCGTGATCAAATATATCAATTGAAAAGGTTTGACCTCATGAGCCCAAAATTGTAATTAGATCTCAAATCGGTCAAGAGATGACGAAGCTATGAGCTAATAGTTTGTACTTGAAAAACAACAACAAAAACTCAGAGCCCTTCTACGAGCCGCTATGCTGCGGCTAAAAAATCAACGAGCGACATAATTGTTGTTATTTATAAAGGTGACGATAAACCTAGAGATTAGACAGAGGGTTCAGGGTCAAGCCTTATAAGGTCATTCACACTAATCAATTATAATAGGCCAAGAGTTGGCTATGGATGGTGTTGGCTATTTGCCTTCCCTCTACTCCACTATTTCTAAATTAGGGATGGGTAGCGCAGATAGCTCTCGAATTATCGTTTGCTTTATTCTATTGTGTAGCCGTTATGTGATATATAAAATATACTAGTTATGGCGTAATTTTTAATTTAAATATAATCACTTATAAGAGTTCAGGACACAGCTTATAGTATCAGACTTACCACTGCAAATCACATTATCCAAGAGTTATAATGTGACATTGCTACTTACAGACATAACAACCTTAAACAATATCCCATTGGACGATTGAAGGACAACAGACTAACAAAGCAAAAGTGGGATGTATCACATGATATTAAAGATACTTTTCACTATACAAAAGTAGTTGAGTCAGTAAGATCATGTCCCCCGGTGGAACAGCAGTGACTCTTCGAATTTACAACGCTAAACTTAGGGGTTCGTTTCCCCTCGGTAGACACACCAAATAACCTAATGTGGTTTTCTCTTGTTAGATAAATGTCTTTGCAATACATTTTCTAAATTAACGCCATCGTAGGTACTGATGTTGTTGTTGTTTTCTTAGCGCGAAGCTACACAATAAGTATCTGCACTTTGTCCAACGCATGGAATCGAAACTCGAATTTTAGCACTATAAGTCCATAAACTTACCGCTGCCCCACTGATGGATGGGGTGGAAAAAAGTGGATATCTGGGACGTGCCCACTGCGGGTATCAAAACCCGATTTTAAGCGTTATAAACCCTCAGACTTACGCTGAACCACCGGGGGCCATAAGTAATGAGAAATCTTTAATGTTTTTTAAAGAATGTTAAAGGCAACAGTGAAAAAATAAGATGCGTAACCGATTTATAGCAAGTAAAATAAGACAAGGGTAGAGTTAGAACCGAACAAGCTACATCTGCCGCTGTTGAGGCAAACTGAGTGTAATAAAGGATGTCGCCAGGTGCGTAACAGTTATAAAATTAAACAACAAACATATAACGGATCAATAGACTGTAATTTTTATTTGGTGCAAATTCTGTACATCAAAACTGAAATAATCAATCAAGAAACAAATAAAATATCAAACACTGTAGTGCATGATTGTTATTGGATAACGTGTTTCAAGTACATGTTGAAAACTTGTGAAAGTATTTAAATTAACAAAGGAAAGACATATAGCATGATAGGAGTAGAAAACACAGTACATACAAAGAGAACGAATACATTATTTGCAAATAAAAATCTTGTAGAAGCCTGTGAGCAGTTAACTATACAGACAACAAACATATGAACGAATAACGATATGGAGAGAACGAACGAAAAAAAATGGTAGAAAAATATCTAGGTATATGTCAAGTTTATAAACAAATATAAATAAAGTGTTGAATAAAGAGATGAACGGCGAAAAACGACAGATTTTTTTCGTGTAATTTAATTGGTCGCGTTGATAAAAAGGCAACTAACCAACCTAGCGGCACTGGTCGTCAACAGTCAGCCGCTTCATGTTGTGTTAATAATTTAGTTTCATAAAAATGTCAGGGCAGTCACCGCGTGCTTTTCTTTTATTTATTTTAAATTTTTTACTTGTACCAATGACTTTCAATTCGCAATAAAATGTATTACGCGTAAGTCTAAAAATAGCTAATTGTAATATTATTATTAAGAGAATGATCTCGACTAACTTGACGAGATGATAATAATGTTTAAAAGTGAGTTAGTTAAGACGACTATTACAAGTATATATGTTTTTTATAACTTATTAGGCCTGCTAAAACATCTCCAATGTAATTGCTCTTACTCGAACTCGAATCATACTCTGTCCTTGTATGGCTATCAAGTTATAATATAGAACAAACTACTGTACATAAAAAGAAAAACGTTTCTCAACTAAATAATAAAGGAGGCGTTACTTTCCTTCGTGTTTTTTTTTAAGCTGGTTGTATTATTCATTGTGTAAATGAACTATAAAGCGAACAGAAATGGGAGTGAAATCATATACTTTAGTGCTATATCGTGGATTCGAGCGTACACATACAACGTTATATTATAAACAACATGATAAAAGTGATAATAAAAAGGCTTCTCATCGGCTCCAACTCATTAAGATGTTTTATGTACATTGTATTAGCTATTATCAGGAGGAAATTCTGTGTGGATATCCTTAATACCACAGGAGTTAAGTAAACGTCTTGAACCAGACCATGAGTGTTAAGTAAACGTCTTGAACCAGACCATGAATGTTACGTAAACGCCTTGAACCAGACCATCAGTGTTAAGTAACGCCTTGAACCAGACCATCAGTGTCAAGTAAAGCCTTGAATAAGACCATGAATGTTAAGTAAAGGTCTTGAACCAGACCATGATTGTTAAGTAAATGTCTTGAACCAGATCATGAATGTTAAGTAAACGCATTGAACCAGACCGTGAGTGTTAAGTAAACGCCTTGAACCAGACCATGAATGTTACGTAAACGCCTTGAACCAGACCATGAGTGTTAAGTAAACGCCTTGAACCAGACCATGAGTGTCAAGTAAACGCCTTGAATAAGACCATGAATGTTAAGTAAACGCCTTGAACCAGACCATCAGTGTTAAGTAACGCCTTGAACCAGACCATGAGTGTCAAGTAAACAACTTGAACCAGACCATGAGTGTTAAGTAAACGCCTTGAACCAGACCATGAATGTTAAGTAAACGCCTTGGACAAGACCATGAGTGTTAAGTAAACGTCTTGAACCAG